TTTTTTTTTTTTTTTTTTTTTTTTCGCTAGGACTGCCTGGTACCTTGACTGGGACTTTGCGCGGGCCTGGTACGGCCGGGCCACCCCGGCCAATCTGAGCCTACCCGGGATGCCCGGCTGGCAAAATACAGGTTTTCTGCTGTATCTGTTTTTATTTTTCTAATTTTTTTTTTGCAAGTGTTGTACTGTATCAAAAGCGTTGAGTTATACGTTTTCAAAGTTTTTTTTTTTAAATGCGCTTGTACTTGAAAAATGTGTTTACAATTGGTTTAAAAGCTAGTCTACCAGCCGAGCTGCCCGGGTCACCCTATTTTCGCGGGCAGCCCGGCCGTGCAAGGACTAGGGAAGGTCCCAGCGAAAAAAGAAAAAAAAAGGAAAATCCAAAAATTGAAAATTCTGAAAAAAAGTATGTCATGTAGAAAAATACACTGAACAACTTTTGCCTCACAGTCACATGGAAATTCTTTACCAAATTTAACATAAAAGTTTAAATTAAAAAGTAATTTTAATTTTTTATTTCTTTTTGGCCCGGCCGGGCACGTGGACCCGGGCCACTCTGGTAGCCCAGTTTAAAAGTTGAAAATCATCGATCCATATATGATCTATGTAACCTCGACCGTCTTTTTTTTTTTTTCTTCCCCTCTTTGCTTTTTTCGGAAGGTGATAGTACAAAAAACACAAAATCGCAAGGGTCTTGGTCTTTCGGCCTGGCTGGGGTCTTCGACCTTGAGATTCAAATTTGGGGTCTGCATCATGGAATGCCTTTCAGTACAAAAAACTTCGAGATCTCAACATCACAAGGGTCCATAACTCCTGGGCTCTTGCTGCTTACTCTGAAAAAAAACTTTGTTTTTCTTTTTTTGAATGGATACGTACATGCAGTAATCAGGATCTGTTTAAGTGCATGTTGGAAGACGAGGAGCTTGCTGAGCGGCTTTTGCTGAAGGATGCTTCCACTGACGAGGACTCGTTATTTCTTGAGCATATGTCAACTTCACAGTTGCTGGTAAGTCCTGGGGATTTCCTTCGGTCTGCGGAGCACCGGTAAAATCTTTTTCATGTCACGGGTGCTAAAAGCTGTTTTTTTTTTTCTTGCCCTTCAGGAAGGACATCGGTGAAAGTTGGAATGATACAGAGAAGACTACCGTCTTCACCCGAATAGAACGCCTGGTCATTATCGCTGCATCTGGACTGAAAGTTGGGCCAAATGCAGCTGTAATGACCGAGTGTTCTATCCAGGTGAAGATGGTAAAATGGCCCCTGTGCAAAGGTGACACACATAAATCGAGAAATGGTCAAAATGCTATTAAAAAAAAAAAAGAAGAGAAAAACAGGGCTTCTTTCTTAGGATCTGACAACCAACTGCCCGATCCCGCGTTTTCAATGGGATGCTGGACCCGTTTTCCAGCATGTGCTGCTACCCATCAATAGATTGAGGCAAGCAGGCGGCCCGCTAGGAGGGGGTGCTCATTTCAACCCTTCTAGCGTGTTAGCATGGTTTTCAAAAAAAAAAATAAAAAAAAATCAGAGCCTAGTTTTGCACTCTGGTCTCCTTGCACCCTACCGTCTTCAGCCAGAATAGAACACCCCGCCATTATAACTGTATTTGCAAGAAGACTACAGCACACAAATTTGTTCTGAAATTAAGCATCACGAGCAGGCCGTCAGCGCCCTAACAGCATCCCGAAGTAAGCCTTTTTTTTCTTCGAATACCCTAAATACCCTCAAGTTTTAACAATTAGACCAGTTAGGACCCCTTTGGCTCAACCATGATGAAGTTTCACCATGGTCTGGGCGACTGCGATTTGCTTGGGCCAGTTGCTCCATGAGTCCATGCCATAAATGGGTGGGGTAAGCAATCTGAAAAGTTCCCAGTGGGCCTTTCTTTTGATCACTTGGGATACACTCATTTCTCCCATTGAACGTACGTAATTTTGATTCATAGATTGCAATTGATTCCCACGTGTTACGCACCCGTTCGCCACTTTGTTTTCAACTGAGAAAACAAGAATTCCTCTTTCTTCAAACACGCAGGGGTTTGTATATTCTTCACCCAACACCAATCCTATGTGCGTTGCCCCCCTTCTGTCGTCCTTAGCCATTTTCTGCTGTTATGTGAACATGACATTTGCGGCATGATCAGCTCCATCCCGGAACGAGAAAGATCCATACCGGCTTGCACTTCCCGGTCTGGTCTGGTTTTCATCGTTGGTGAAGGCAGTTTCAGTGGTGCGTTCTTTTGTCTCATCATGACTCTCATGGTATTGGTTAGTCAAGCGGGCCTGTAATGCCAAGCCAGCATCTGTTTTCATTTTTATTTTTGTATTTTTATATTTTTATAGTAGAATTCCTCTTTCTTCAAACACGCAGGGGTTTGTATATTCTTCACCCAACACCAATCCTATGTGCGTCGCCTCCCTTCTGTCGTCCTCAGCCGTTTTCTGCTGTTATGTGAACATGACATTTGCGGCATGATCAGCTCCATTTGCGGCATGATCAGCTCCATCCCGGAATGAGAATGATCCATACTGGCTTGCACTTCCCGGTCTGGTCTGGCTTTCATCGTTGGTGAAGGCAGTTTCAGTGGTGCGTTCTTTTGTCTCATCATGACTCTCATGGTATTGGTTAGTCAAGCGGGCCTGTAATGCCAAGCCAGCATCTGTTTTCATTTTTATTTTTGTATTTTTATATTTTTATATGTTTATATTTTTATATTTTTAAACCACCACTACCTTTCCCGCCATAGGGAAAACGGGAGAATATCCTACTCCTAAAAAAATGGAGGCCATTGATAAATCTCATCGGCGGCTGTCGTTTCGTTTCGGCCTCCTAAAGATTCGGGCCCGATGGTGGCCCACATGCGAAAAGGTAGTGGTGGGCGCTGACCTTGGGATATCTTCACGGATCGAACCGGCCCTTGGTAATTGAGAATCGTTTATTCCATTCAACTCAGGTCTGTGTTTCAACAGTTCATGGGTGTACCAAATGAGGTAGGCTCCTTGTTGGGCCTCTGTTTTGCTGATGGACCACACAGAGATGCTTGCAGTTTACAATGTTTTGTGTGTGTGCGTGCATCTGTGCATGCTTGTGTGTGTGTGTGTTTGTGTGTGTGTGTGTTTGTGTGTGTGTGTGTGTGTCTGTGTTGTCATGCTCGCTATACACAACTAGGAAAAAAAACATGACTGTGCCAGACTGTTTTATCGGACTTTCACGGACTCATCAGGGGATTGTGTGTGCATGTGTGTGTGTGTGTGTGAGAGAGAGAGATGGACAATGTTTTACGTTTAGAAGTTTAATAAATCTCTGGTCTTGTGTGTCCTGTCTTGTGTTTGGGACTGCTTTTCGGGATGAACATTTGTACACGTCCTTCTGTGTGTGTTTGTTGGGGTTCGCTTGTGTGTGTCTGCATGTATTCATCTGTGTGTGTGGGTGAGAGAGAGAGAGAGGAGGGGTGGTGTGAGATGTGTATGTGGTGTGTGAGAGGGAGTGAGGAACTGCAAGGGGCAGGGGGGGAAGAGGTGGGAGTAGGGACAAAGATAGGGTGGTGGGTTGTCTGCATTGTTGTTCTGCAGGCTTCACGGTTGAGTGTGTCGGATGCTTTCTGCAGGCGCCTTCTGTCCGCTGGCGTATTGAACAGATCGGCACTCTTGAGCACACTGCGTTCGTACAGCAACAGGCTAACTGAAAGTGAAATTGCATCCATGAGTTCTGACGCGCTACGGGCTGTTATACTGTCATCAATTGAAGGCCAGGTAAGTTGAAAAGCGACATGTCTTTTACCACACCATATGTTTTGTGTTGTCAGTGTCTGCGATTTGATGACCTTTTAGGGTTACGGGCTTCAGGTAGCAGCCACCTGCACCCCTCTGGTGACTCACCAACCGCTCGTGCATTTTGCAATCAGACTCGTTTCATTCACACTTTTCATGTATGTAAACAGCAGCACAGCAAACTGGCGACATGCGCCCACTCAATACTCAAGAGATATGGCACCCAGATAAGAGTTCACTTTCACTGGCTATGGCGGCTCAGCGCCCTACAACTCACTGTTCACACACTCTGGATCACCCTGGATATCCCACACGCATCACTCTGAGCACTCACACAACACACACACACCCTGCCCTCTAAGCTACAGCTATGGCAGCTATGGCTGCCGCTACCCTATCGCTATGGCTACACTTCATCACTCTCGCCCACTTCGTCCTCGGGCGCTCCTGCAGACCTCCTCGCACGAGACGCTGAGACAGCGCTTCCGCATGGCTATGAATGAATGAATGGCTGTGCGCGGCCTCTTGATTTATACTTCTGTGACTCGTTGGTCTGCCCTGTTTCCCTGGCCCATGGTGTACACAGTCCTGGGCGGTACTTGCTTGACTGGACCGGACTGACTGGACTGGGACTGCTGACTCTGCACGGTGGACTTCCACCACTTGCCCACTTGCCTTGACCGCCAGTGGGCTGACTCCGAAAGGCCACTTCCAGAAACATCTACTTGGCCTTTCGGTACTGTAGCAGTTACGACTCTGCCCTTTCAGGTAAGTAGCAGCTACGACTTTGACCCTTCGGAAAGTCTACAGCTAAGACCTCTGGACTCTCTAGACTCCTACCCGACAGGTCTACAGTTCGAATCCCCTATACCCTGTAACCTACAATGACCTACCTACCACTGGCAGTCCTACAGGTCGTGGGTTCAACTGTACGGGTTGACACAGCTACTGTACACAGGTAGGGTGGGGACTAGGGATCGAGCCCTGGGATCTGCATCAGCTACTGTGAACTGGTGAATACCGTTTCAATTTTGTTTGTTGTCTGGCAGGCACCTAGGCTACCAGAGTGGCCCGCGACCACTTGCCTGGCTGGGCCAAAAAAAAAAAGAGAAGAAAAGTAATAATATTATAATAAAAATTTTCATTTTTAAAATTGGTAGAGGATTTCGATGTGACCCTGAGGTAAAAGTTGTTCAGTTTATTTTTCTACATAAAATAGTTTTTTTTCGGTTTTTTTTTTTTGCATTTTTGTTTTTCTGTTTTTTGGCTTTTGGGGCTGGGATCTTCCCTGGTCCGTGCACGGCCGGGCTGCCCGGGAAAACAGTGTGACTCGGCAGCCCGGCAGGTACCCTAGGCAGGCACCGTATTATTGGGTCCGCTTCTTCGTTTCAAGTATTAGATAGATAGATGCTATGATCCTTTTCTTTTCTTTTTTTTTTTTAATGATCCTGGTCAGCTTCTATTGTGAACCGAATAAGAATGCCATTGGATTGCAATTCAAATGAAAGAAGAAGGGAAACAGAATAACACACAGGAAGGAGAAAAGGAGGAGGAAAGGAGATGGCGAAGAAGATATACCCAAGCTGGAACCAATGTCATCTCCCCTCATCTTGCCTTCGCCATCTCCACCATCATCTTATCTATGCTCCTTTTAAAACTATACCCGGGCCGCTCGTAACAGCCCCCGTGGGCCCAGGAAAAGTTGCAGACGAGGTGGAACCGGAGCGGAGTCCAATGGGTGGGTGGGTGGGGCTGTGGGGGCACCTTTTTGTTGTTGTTGTTGTTGTTGTTGTTATTGTGGAGGGACAGTGTGCTCGAATCCAAACGGCCATCTTTTTGTTTTCTCGTTTGCGGATTTTCGTGCAGGCCGTTTCATGCAGCTTTTTTTTTTTTGTTTTGTCGTTTTTTGTTTGGTTTTTGTCGGTGTCTTTCTTTCAAAGTCTCGAAGTCCGAATCCAGTCGAGACGCGGGACGTGAAAGCTTTTTTCTTTTGTCGTTTTTCCAGCCGCTTTCCGTTTAGGGTTTTGTGGCGTTTTGTTCCGAGTCCCTAAGTTCCAATCCAGGCGCCGTTTAGTTTTCACAGGTGCCGTGCTCAAACGTCCTGGTGTTGTCTTTGCAAAAGAAATACATAGCAGGCCAGGATGTTGAGCGGTGAGGCCTGTTTGCAGTGTCTGAATACAAGTACACAGCGGCCTTGGAATATTGAGGGAGGCCCTTAAACAGAAGCCTAGGATGTTGAGTACTGGAGCGAGGGCCTATATTAGACGGTTCGGATGTGTACACTGGGCCGGAGCTTTTGGTTGTGTGGTGGGGGGGGGTTCCGGCCGATTATACAACCGAACCGACATCGCAGTTCGGCGGGGGAGGAGGGGCGGGGGGTGAGCGGAGCACAGGAGGACAAAGTGGCCTGTGTGAAGGGGTGTTGGCACTATCCAGTCCGCGAAGTGTGCCTGTCTCACATTGGACTGCCTGGTCCAATCGTGTCGTATATAGGCAGGATTGGGCCTGGGGCGTTGCGTCACCGCGGTATGCTATCTACCTAGCCCTGTAAACAGCCCCCCTATGACCTTATTACATCTTCTTTCTACCTAGGTATGCTATCTGGCTATGGAAGAACTTCCACGCTCACCTCGGATGTTCGGAGGACAATGCAAATTGCGCCTCTGCCCTTCTCTCCAACAACGACCTCCAGGCCTACATCTCTGAATGAAGCCCGTAACCCACCAGTACCCCTTTGGGGGCCTTCACGATGAAGCACCAACCTTAGGATGAAGATGCAAGTCCACCATGGCCAAAGGTGAGTTTCCTTCTGGATTCACACATCTTTCCTCGTCCGTCGGCCTCTACTACACCTCCGTAGCCTAGCAAGAGGTCCTCCTCCCTCACCTCCATAGTCTAGCACCACTTCTACCTCTCCCTACCACAGCTCCATAGCCATGGGGTTCTTGTCCATCATCCTTCACCTCCGTCTTCTTCCTCCAGGAGCTGCACTACTTCTCCCTCTTGGTTGAGCAGCAGCATGACTGCTGGGTGAACGAGTGGTTCGTGCATTTCACCGAATGATATACTTTTCAGCCCCCGGTCTTTAGTATCTCCTGGCGAGACACTTTCTGCCTCTACCCTCACTTTCGTGCACTATGGCTACCAGGCGTTCCCTCCTTTTTGCGGGAACATCATTGCAGACTGCTATATCTACATGCCCTCAACCTAGAAAACGAGTTCAAAGCTATCTTTGTGCCTGAAATAAGTAGATAACAAGCCAAACAACAAATAAACAAACAAACAAACTGGGCTAGCGGCCGGGCTGCCCGGGTCATCTTGTTTGACCTGGCGGCCCGGGCGTGCGAGGACCAGCAGGGCCCCAACTTAACAAAAGGATTAAAAAATCTGAAAAACAACTATGTGATGCACAAAACGAAACCGAACAACGTTTGCCTCAGCTTCACATCAAAAACAATTCCTTAACAAATTTAGAAAAAAATAAATTATTATTATTATTATTATTATTATTTTTTGCCCTGCCCAGGGCCACCCTGGTAGCCTATCAAATAAATAAATAAATAAGTATTAAGTAATCAATAAAATAAATAAATAAATACTGCAAGGAAAAAAAACGTATGGTAACTGCGGACCTGGACACCGAACACTTTCGGACTGTCTTCCGGACCAGTGTCTGGACCGGTCTGGACTGTCCGGTGATCCGGACATCACTGGACACCCGAACATCACCGCACTGGACACCCGAACATCACCGCACCCGGACAGTCCGGACCGGTGTCAGGGGGTGCAAAATGTCCAGACCAAAAAAAAAAAAAAAAAAAAAAACGGGAGAGGACGGGGGGGGGCTGTTGGCAAGCACTTGCCTGCTTTGCACTTTGTTGTTCAGGCAGCAGAGCACCTGTCTTGCAGCAAATCAACAAGCACATTTAACTAGCAGACATGCAGAGTTGCAAACAGTGCAAATCAGGCACAAGACTAAAGAAACAGAGGGGGGGAAAAAAAGGCATGATTCGCTTTCAAGTTTGGACTTCGAATTAAGTAACTAAGTTCATAACTTCACAGTACTTGAAAGTTTGAACTTTGCAGTTCAATTCAGAACGTCAGAGTCTTCAGACTGGCTGTTAGTGCTCTCTCTCTCTCTCTCTCTCTCTCTCTCTCTGTGCAACGGGCAGCAGCTGCGGGCGGCGCATCAAAAAGGACGCTTTGAAATTGCTCAGGCCTGTGTGAAACCTGCCACCCCAAAGACCTTCAGTGCCTTGTGTCCGGGCCTCTAGGCCCCGTGCGGTGGGGTGAAATGACACTGAAAAATCACCCCATTATTTTTCAAGGGGCGGCCAGTACTTAAAATGTTCTGGGCCGCCCCTTTTTTTTTAAATGATTTTTGACCTGGGGGCCTCCATCCGGGCATAAGCACCGGACAGCGGACATGTTGTTCCGGACTGTCTGGAACCTGGTCCGGACGTCCGGTCGGTTACCATGGAAATGAGCGATAGCAAAATGACAGAAATCTGGAATGTAAAATCACATTGAAAGCCAGAAAGTCCAACGCTGTCCAGAAAACAGAAATGCACTGATATTCCACCAATGGAGAACCAAAGCACCGAATCTGAATGTCAATGAGAGCATACTCTCGCTACCTCCAGAGTCCGTCCTCCTGCTTGGCTCTCATCGCCCAGACTGCGATCACACAGCTACTACCAGCCTACAAATTGACAATGCAACCTGTTGACGTCAGCAGCAACAACCGAAGTACATGAAGATGTCGACCCTGTAGACCATTGCCAAGACCAGGTACGTGCCCTCACATTATCCTCCTCTTCTCTCTCTCTCTCTCTCTCTCTCTCTCTCTCTCTCTCTCTCTCTCTCTCTCTCTCTCCCTTGTCTTCGCTACCCATACATGAAGACCACCACCACCCCTGCTGGCTATGTCCAAGCCAAGACCTGGCGATGTAGGGCTGGCTATGGCGCTGCGCTCAGCAGCGCCCTACCTCTCGCACAACCGCACGTGCGTGCACACTTGCCCCTAGCGCTGAGCAGGCAGCCCACGAGCACTTGTTCCAGCGGCACTGCTTCTCAACTATGCAAGTGCCCGACTGTCGAACACGGAGTCCGGCCCTTTCCTGGCGTATTGCCACATGCGTGCCCCGTCTGACGGAGTTTCCAGTAGCTTCAGTCTCGGCCAAAGTCTCTGCACGGTGGCCCGTTCAGACAGTGGCCTGGGACCGAGATTTGCGATAATTGACGAGCTCAGGCCTGATTGAGATTCAGGAGGGGGCCACCTTCACTTAGGGCGGGCACACGCCTGCTGCAGGGCCTTATGTCGGTATGCGAGGGGTAAAATCCTCGCAATACGTTATCTTCGTCAGCCGTGTTTTCCCAAGCTTTTTGTGTGTAAAACATTCAGCTGGCGGACAGTCCTTTTCTTCAGCCGTTTTCATGTTTTTATAGTTTTTAACTTTTTGCACCTTTTTGCTGCTTTTTCAATAGTTTGTAATTGATTGTGGTTCTTCAACAGGCGCTTTCACAGAGTATGGATCTGGGTCTCTGGCGAGATCTGTGCTCAAGATATTTGCAGTACTGGCGTCAGGAGTGCCGTCCACTGGCTCTGGTTGTCGATGTGAAGACGCAGATGGCAGGCCTGATCAAGAACGACACGTTCTCTATCTTCCGAGGAAATGATCAATCGGACTATCTGCGGCGAAGTAAGTGATAAGCAACCCTGTGAAACTAAGGGAAGGAAAAAAACAAAAAAAAAACAAAAAAAAAACAAAAAATGAAGGAGCGATTGCAAACCTATGTAGGTAGGTGACCCGAACGCCCAGCAGGGTGCTGGGATGCGCATATCCGATCTTGAAAGACCAGAAGTGGAATCAACTGGACAAATAGTACCCAGATTTATACTGACGGCAATAACGCCCGGATTCGTTATGCAAATTTATAGCGTGAGTATGCCTTTACGGCCGCCTTGTATAGTAACGCCAGGCACAAGACTGGAATTAATAAAGGTGCAGTTTTAAATTCTAGTATTCTGTTGGAGATTGACTTGGCATGTTCGCAAAGTGTTGGAAAAAGAGATCCAGGCTTCATCATTGGAAAAGAGGTTGAGGATTTCTGAGGGTGATGACAAGAGGCGGAAGTGCCCAGAGGTAGAAGGGAGAAGAGGGGGAAAGGCGCCATATCTTCTTTTTTTCTCTTCCTCCACCCCTTCTCTTCCCTTGGTCTCCACACTCGTCTATTCGGGTATCTTGTGTGATTGTCCTTCATTGATCATTCTTCTGAATTCCGTTCATGATGTTGACGGTTTGAGGTGTGAGCTTTTTGGATTTCGGTTCGTTGCACATGGGTCTAGTAAGAAGAAAAACAAACGCCCTTCGGGAGATCCGTTAAAATCGGAACGACACAGAGAAGATTAACATGGTCCCTGTGTGAGGATGACATACATAAATCGAGAAATGGTCCATGTTAAAAAAAAAGGCAAAAAAAAGACAAAAAAAAAAAGGAAAAAAAAAAAGAAGAAAAGAGAAAACAAAACCAACGGCTGTCCCTCCACGCATGCATTAAAATTGGAGCAATACAGAGAAGATTACCATTGCCGCTGAAGCATGACAGACATCAATCAAGAAAACGCGACGAAATAAATACAAAAAAAGGTTCGATCTAGAGTCTGACATGTTGCACATGGGTTTTTGATCTCTATTATTCTCTAATGACTTGATTTGACATATGGCTAAAGTTGTTTCTGTAAAAAACCGCTCCCTGACCTGAAATCGACGGAACAAAAGCACTGACGAGTCGGTGTACAGCGGAACCTTTGTGAGATTGTATTACAAAAGGAGTTTGCGAAAGAAGTGTTTCCTGTGATTTTTTGGACGCAGGAACTCTGCTGTTCTGCTGTTTTTGGCTTCACATGGGTCCTGTAGAAAGGAAAAGGAAACAAAAAAAACAAAAAAAGGTTGCTGTAGTCTGTCACTAGGGGCATGCGCTAAAATTGGAGCGATACAGAGAAGATGATCATGGGCACTGCGCAAGGATGACAGACATCAATTGAGAAATGGGCGAAATAAATACGAAAGAGGTTCGCTCTCTGATCTGACATGTTGTACATGGGTTGGCCGTTCTGGTGTTTTCGGATATCAGGCGAAATCCGGTCGGAGGCATGGTGTCATCATGCTACTGTGGCTCCGGGGCTGTCCCCTGAGGAGATGACGGTGATGGGCATGCTGGCACATTGCATCAGGCAGCTTGTACGCTACATCGGCTCTCTTGGGGCTGCGGTGTTTGACGACTTACTCATGCACAGCGATGTAGATCCAAATGCTCTGATGCAAGAGTACCTGAATCTGCTTCAGCTTGGATACTCGCAAAATGCCACGGATGTCAAAGTCGGTATGGGAACGGAAAGCACATTCATCAAGGGCAAAGGCTTGCATTCACGCCACAGGCGGTTTTTGTTGAATTTGCTGCATGATCTTTCGGCAGCGATGGAGACGGTTGGAAGCTGGGGAGGTTTGTTTTCTCTTCTGCACAAGTGTTTGGAGCAAGTGGACAAGACTGCTCTGTACCCTTCCGCAATGGCACATGCAGAGGGTTGCACGGGCACAATAGCAGTACATGTTGCCTCTCATGCTGTGCGGCAAGTTACTGAAAATCGGTATACCGTCACCCGTAATGTTTACTGGCTTTTGTCGCTGCTGAATGGGCTGAGTGGACAGGTGAGGACCTCAGCAGCCAGTGCTTCTTCGATCAATCTGACCATGTTTGCATCAGATTTCACGGACACAAAGGAGTGTAATAGAGTGCAGGTTCTAGGGAAGGGCAAAAAATAGCAAGAGCACATTAGTCCATGCATGAGGTCGTGGCGAATGCTCATGGATCTATATGTGCAAACCATGGAGAGAGAGAGAGAGAGAGAGAGAGAGAGAGAGAGAGAGAGAGAGAGAGAGAGAGAGAGAGAGAG